GGAATTGTTTATTATTTTTTGTCGAAAAGTCCGTTCGACCTTCTCAATCTATTTCTGTCACCAAAAATACTACCCCTTTTATTGGGTCCTTAATCTTAACATCTGCGTGGGTAACAACATCTTCAATATAAATTATGGAAATCTATACTGCAGTTTATCAAATTAAAGGTAGAACGCGTGCTCTAGTAATCAACTCATTTGCATTTAATGACATTCCTGATTTCTCCTTCAGTATTAATCGACTGAACGACTTAAGTACTTTACGGGACAAATACGTAACTATGCATTGATTTAGTGAGCTTAAATATTTATGGTAGCAAAATTAAAATTCTATTTTCCAAATTAAATATTTTCAATTTTGTAATTAATATTACACGTTGCTTGTTCAACTGCAAAAATAGTATCTTTGGTTAAGTGTTAAGAAATTTTAAATATAAAATTTAACACTTAACTTCTTAATAATCCAAAAATGATTGACAACAAACATATTTTCAATGAAACCATTGTGACACAGATTTATGATACAAGTTAGGTGATATAGTTTTCGATGATATTTTGTAGATTTATAAGCCCTTGAGTGGTATTCTTTTCGTTATACCGCATTTTTACGCAAGAGAATAAATTTTTCACTAGGTAAGATGATAAAACTACTTTAAGTTAAAACTTTACCGGCCCGGTTAATTTATATATTATACTTTTGTTTCACTATACGACTCTGAGTAAGATGAAAAATTATGTTGGCTATCACGTACACGTATAAACGAACAACATTGTACAAAAATGGAAACTCTCGTTACTCAAAAACATCGTAAAAGAGAAAAATTAGGAATACAGGTAGATTTACAAGTAAAAAATTACACACTATCCAAGTGCTTGGAATTATATATAACGTTTTATACGAGAAAACTCTTGTTTGGCAATTATAATCTCGAGTTTTACTAGCCTTCGTAACGTTCAACTTTATGACAAGAGTTGTTTTGAGAAACAAAATGAAAAAAAAAAATTACATGCATTGTATATGTAAGAGACAATTAACGTTCTTGTAGTTCTCTCAAAAAGTCATCTGACATTAAATTGCTATGACCTGGAAATTTAGAATACGGTAATATCCTAACTTGAATTAAACTTGAAACAAAAAATGTTCTCTCTCTGCACAATAATTAGTTTTACACGGTTGGAAAACTTCATAATTAACACTTATTATACTATTAAGTTAACTAAATTAATTCAAAGAAACTTTATACTTAGTTTAATGTATACTAACATAAATAGATAATAAATTAGTTGGTATATTGTTTTTCGAGTAGAAACCAAATGGTCAGTGTACATTTTATTGCTAAAGTAGTTCCCTTAGTTCGTATCCATTGTACGAGCATAATTTATTGATATTTTTCCAAACAATTAATTTTTGATTCTTAACGTTATCTTTCTTTCTACTAGATTTGTTATGATCAGTTTTCTAAACTTACTAACATTCTTATAAAAAATATTCGTTTTATTTTATGGTATGGCACATCATAGTTTTACAATAATATTATTAAAATAAAAATGTATTATAGATTCTGTCATAACTATTCAAGACTTCATTGTACGTCAATTACATTTAGTCAATAATTATAGTTAATATTTTTAATTGAATTTTACAGTAAAATTTTTTATTTTATTAATATTTTATAGATTTCGTAAAAATTATTTACGTCGAGTATAACTAGTGATGAGAGAGAAGGGGCGTAATGGATAATTCAGTTATCGCGGCGACTAAAGGTATCTAAGGCGCGCCTACTTTGTGCTAAAATCAAATATACGAAATATGTAGACCACGTACGACCTCAAATGTATTTTAGAAAATTGGCTGTTTTACATATTATTTGCTAATACGTCCGAAAAGACATTTCCTGAATGGAATCTATACACACGTATGGTAAATTGAAAAAAAATATAAAAACTCGTGTCTTGTCCTTTACCAAAGGCCTTTTGGTAATAACATATGGAATTCCTATAACGCGGGACATCTTTTTTCATAGTGTTATTACGTTGGACACGAAAAATAATAAAAGTATGCATTGGCCTTTTCCTTTAGTGTTGCAGAGCGATATAAAGAAGAAATTGAGGTTTTTCAGAGCTATTAGAAAAGGGGGTGTAATATTCAAAACATGTACTCGGCGTAGTAGAGATGGCTGTCAAAGTTAAAAGTAGAACGTATAGTAGGTAAAAAAAAAAAAATACGCAAAGGCGGATGGAGACTATGTGAAGGTGGCGGCAGTAGATGGATAAAGGAAGACGTGACCGGCACGACAACCGCATCTACAGTATTGGACGTGATCAGGTTTCGGTATTGTGACGTCACCCACTGCACTATCGTACGCCTTACCATTTCCATCTCTCAAATTCTGTTGCCACACATGAGTGTTATCCTCGCGGTAATGAACATCGGATACCGCCTTCTGTTGCCTCTTGTTCCGCTTTCCTAAATACGGAGCGTTAATGAAATTAAGCTCCATCGGGGGGCACTTCTTCTTCTTCGGGTTTTCTACACTTTTTTCTTCCGCCTCTTTTTCATTTTAACTGTACGGCTACTAATGATTTCCGAGCAGCGTGTATACAGTCATATATATATATATATATGTATGTGTGTATTATAGAAAGCGATGGTGGTGGTGTATAGTAGAGGGTGCAATGAAACCTCCTTGAACTTGATAATAAAACTTTCGGACATCATGTGACTATCTTTCCGGGTAGCTCCTTAGCACACGCGTCGCCGTCATGATAATCGTTGTTTGTCAGGGTATAACTAATTGCTACATGTGAAATGGCTTATTTATAAGTGTGTAATATCATTTGGATAAAATATTTAAGAGTTCAACTAGAAGTACTCGATAAGAACTTTTGATTATATTTTAGAATGATCACAAAAATTAATTAACTTAAATTTTATTAAAAATTATTAGTATACTCAAATTTAAATTATTTTAGGGTTGGCATAGAAGGTTATTTTTTTTTTTGCTAAAAATGTTAGTTTTAAGACATAAAAATACAAATATTTCAACAAAGATTTACCGTCTTCAACCACTTTCTTACATACCAGCATTGAGAATTTTACGTGAAACAACAGCTGAAAAAAATATTAAACGAACAAAATCGTTTAAAATTTTATTAATTTTAAGCTTTAGCTTAAATTCTGAAAGGAGAGTTTTAACTGTCATCACCATCGTTTTACGATTGTTGCAGACGTTATTTTTATGACCACTCAAATTATACGGTGTCTTTTACGGCAGAATAGCATTGGTCCGTTTGTTTTCAAATCGATAGTAAAAACCGAAAAAAAAAAAGTTTTTATGACAAGCTTTTCATCTTTTACCCGGTAAGCATAAGTTTGGTCGTGAAATTTAACCCGGTACGGTTCGTTACTAGAGGAAACGTGTGCCAGTTTTAGTCAGCAATGTAATATCACTGCATATAAGACAATCTCTGTTAGACTTACGCCATTTTAAACTCCCTATAGAATAAATTATTCGAAAACGTTGGCTAGATCTATAAAATAAGTAGAAATCTCGAATTTATGGTGTTGCTCCACCTTACCCGAAATCGTGTTCAATCTCTTAGGATCTTTTCACCACACTTTATATAGATACATAATTTATTAAATACAGTAGCACGCTCTTCTTCGAGGTTTAGATTAAATATCCTTATTATGTACAAGTATAGCCTTCAAATTTACTTTTCCAACATTTTATTTAACCAAAAAATCAAGACAAAATTTATAATTAATGAAATTCATAAAATTTATGAATATTTAATATGATAACAATTAAACATATTTTTTCAATGTATATATTTATAAAAGTTATAAACGTATTTTCACATTGTATGTTTTATAAATTTTGAAAAATAATTATGAATCTTTCAGATATTTTATGTCAGTTTAGATCATTTTACTTCAAAATCGTATTGATTATAAAATTGTTTAGAAATATACGAAATCTTAAAATAAAAAATACTATGTCATTTACTATTGGACATCTGGAAATGAACTTTAGCTGTAATATACCATGTTAACGTAGTATTTAGATATGTAATTGGTTGATGTAAAACAAGTCAAAATTCTCAGGGGGGTAGTAATAACAATAATAATAATAAAGGTTGGTAGTAGCCTAACGACATAATATACCTATTCGTATACATCTGAATTTTGTTATCAGAGACGAATAATAGAACATTATTGTGGCCCATCTCGACCGTATAATTAAGAAAAGAACGAAAAGTGTAATAATAATTAATATTTATTGTGCAATTCCATTAAAATTCATGCAGAATTTAATAATATAATCTCAAATATGAACATTAATACAACCACTAAAAATTGTTGCTCTGGTCAATTATTAAACAACAACATAATTATATTTTTAAGTTAAAAATGTAAAAATAGTGAATATTTAATTACTTTTAATTTATAATGGAGTAATTCAATTATTGCAAAGTTGTGTTATTGTATGAGATAATTTATCTGTAGTAAGTTTTGTTTACAATTCAATACTATATTAAATGTTATAAGTATGTATTTAAAAACCGTTTCTACCCATAGAATATGGTTGGATGATTTGATAGAAATTAGTTCAAACATTACGCCAAGGAAGCTTATAATTTTTATACACAATAGACTTTTTGTACTATATAAAATATATAAAAGAAAAATACCACAATAAACCACGAATTTTTGTCAGATTCTTATTACTTTACTTGAAAACTATAGAATAGTTTAGTATGATATAATTATCAACGCAAATGATTTTTTACACGGAAAAGATTCCTTTTAAGGTATTTTTTGAAATGTTCATATAAAAAACCAAAATGATAAACATTAGAATATTATTTACATAAGTGGAAATATTAAATTGTGTGTTGAATTATAAAATTCTTTAAAACAATATTTTTATTCATTCTATATAAAAATGAATTTATCAGTTTGATCATAGAATAAAAACATTTTTTTTTATTTACAGGGCTTCACAAAAATTAAATTTAAATGGTTCTCCGCATCGAAGAAAGAGACGAGGATCACAAGGAGAAGAATCTGGTTCCAGTACAAATGGCTTCGCTAGTGGTCTACATAAACATGCTCCACCATTACCTGCACTGTTACAGCGACGAATTGCTGGTAAGGAGCTTACTGGTGTTGGCAAGGTGAGTTTCAATTCTCCCGTAAATAACTACATGTAATCAAATGAGAGTTAAATGGTTTTATGGAGTGATTTGATTAATTAAGGGAAAATAAAAGGAAATAATTAACCAACCAATCATTAGCGTGGTTTGACATCAAATCGATATTATAAATACATATTAGTTCAGTTTTCGTACATATGTTTTATGCATAATATAAAAACTATAATAGTTAATTATAGTTAAATTTGTATAATTATTGATGAGTAATTGTTTTCCTTTATTTTCATTTGTTAAATTAGAAAAATATTATGGTATGTATGGCATATTTTAATTAGTAATGTTCTTGTAATGTTACTTTAATTTAAGCACCAGAGAAACTACACAGATCAACATAGATATACACATTTTGCATTTGAAATTGATGAAAAATGAATCTAAACAGTTTTTTTATTGATATCTAATCGTATCGATTATCTAAATTGGAAAAAATCGTCGTGCCAAATCCGATTTTGTTTTGCGCAGACGACCAAGCGTTTTTTATTTATTTGTTTGTAGACTAACGCTGATTTGTAAGGCTTAAAGCCTACTGGCAGCAACGCGTGACACGACATTCGGATTACCTTCTCCAGCGATTTCTATGCTTANAAATCCGATTTTGTTTTGCGCAGACGACCAAGCGTTTTTTATTTATTTGTTTGTAGACTAATGCTGATTTGTAAGGCTTAAAGCCTACTGGCAGCAACGCGTGACACGACATTCGGATTACCTTCTCCAGCGATTTCTATGCTTACCACCTTCCGAAGTTTTCGTTGTCCATTCCGTTAAAAAGCTTAGTCGGCCATCTCTTAGTCGCCGTCAGCTTTAGTCCCTGACGAAGAAAAACGGTTTTATCGGACTTACACTCACCTATCTCTACTAGAACACATAAGAGTATCGTTAACTTCCATTCCTCCTTACCAGACGTTAACTTTGACGCTATTTGTACAAATAGGATTTGCCGCAAACATTGTCTAAAATACTGCAAAATACTAGTATCGATATAGGCTTACGTATGTCAGCTCAATGCTTAAAAAGTCTTTTATAGTTTAAACACCAATACTATAAAACTCAACTCGATTTTATTTTAATAGATATAAACGAATCGTTAAAAAAATTAATGTTTGGAACTCACAAAACAATCAACGCTTTAAACGTAATAATTCATCCTTTTAAAATTTTTTTTTTGAAAAATTGTCTTGTATTAGAATCACAATATCTAGATGTTTATAACGACAATTTTCATGCATTTTCATTTTATATATACATAATGTTGTAGTTTGTAAGTGTTGGCATAGATATTAGTTGATAACTTTGAGTTAAAAAATGTTTATTTGATTATATTTTGACTATAAATGTTATTTGTAGATTTTTTTGTGTATATCTTGTAAGTTAGTATCGATGACAGCATGTACAAGCTAATTTTTGTCCAAGTGTTTCCAGACCTGTTTAAAAAAGAGCAATGTAGCAACCGAAATCATTTTATTCATTTAAAAATAAAGGGGATAAGCTGTGTTAGTTTTTGGGCATAACTTAAATATTTGTCGAAACACTTTCCTAGTGCACTTGAGAACAGAGACTATATTCTTTAAAATAAACAACGTTAGTCGATACGAATAACATATTTCTTTCGTAGAACAGAAACAATTCCGTAGATAATATCTTATTTTTCAAAAAGCAATTTACTCGGTAGACATTATATTATTATTCAAGAATTGATGATTTCTCTTGGGGTAAAATATCCTGTGGACTGTTTAAAAATAACAGCGCTGTCTTAAATAGTTACAGTGCGATTTTAAATTAAACGCTAAAGTGAAAGAAATAAGTGGATGATTTATGAACGTCGTGTTCAAGAACTTTTTTATGAGACTCGTCAGAGCTAATATAAACAGAAAACGAAAATAAACTGACATTTGTTGTTGTGTATAAACGTTGTCTTTTTTTACGAATCTCATAACTAAGCATTATGGTGTTGCACTGTTCAGAAGAAATATTATTTTTACTATGTTAGTTTTAACTCAAAACAAAACTGTTTTTCATTTATACATAATGCTGTAATTATAACACCAACGAAAATCCTATTACAACGAAATTATTTGAAAGTAAATCATGATAAATTGATTTTCTCAAATATGAATTGATAATTTTCCCTTTATATTTTAAGTTATATTTATTTTACTTGATAGCCTTTACGAGATAATTAGAAGATATTTATTAATATACCTAATTACATTTATATTTAAAGTAGCCAAATCCGCCACTATGGGGTTATAACACATAATTTTGAGAAATTATTTTAATGAAACTTGTACGTATTACTTACAAGAAGTAATCATTAAAAGCTTCTTGGTCGTATATAGATAATGTTGATTAATTTCTGGACGTTCCCTATTATACATGGTCCCCTAAATGACACAAAGTGTTATTTGCATACAAGAAAATAGGACAATTATTATTGCAGGGGAATACATGCCTGACAAAAATTTTGTAATCATTTTTTCACACTCATCCGTTTCCCATACTACAATGTATTACTCGCAAACCCCGTTATAATATACGTGCCAACTATACGAAGTTGGCAGTTATAAATTGTCCCTTGTTAAATGATATAAACAACTGGGATCCCGACGGTCTGCACACCTCGCTAATGGTACGGCCAATTAACCCTTCGGGAGTACGGAATTTGGTTTTTTGGTGACATTGCATTTGAGTAATGTTTGAATGAAGGCTTTATAAAACATGGATCATTGAAGATAGTAGACAGTAGTTGATAATTCTCTGAAGTTTTCTTACCGAAAAACTAAAACGTGAAAAGAATGAGAGAAATCCGGAAGTAGTTTGAACGTTTTTTTCAAAAAAGGTTAGTGAATAAAAACAAAAGCTTTCGTAGTGAAACTATGGAATCTATTAACAATGAAAGTTAACAACGATTTCGAGAGCGTTAAATAATTTATTTTCCAATTGTAAATTAAAAAATGCAAATATCCTAAGACTTGATTATTTGCATTAAACATATACTATAACAATTAGTATTCAATCTGCTGATCAGTAGCATAATTAGGCTTTTGTATTGAGGTATGATATACTTAAGAACATTTTTCACTTTCCCCTCTGAAAGAAGAAAAATTATATCTTTGCTATATAACTATTTTTGTCATGAGAGTTATGGGTGACATTCTCTTATAGTTACGCCAATACTGCTGATTATTTTAATTACATTACGAAATTTAAATTACAGATGATTCCTTATTAAAACACATAACTCATACTTAAGCACGATTATTTACAAATATGGATTAAAATTTAACCAAACTTTTGGTAAAATCACTTTTTCGAAAAGTCCTAATTAGGTCATCTATGGCCACAACAATGATTTATTCATTTTATAAATGAAATGTAACAAAGGCAAAATCGTGATATAATAAATAGCAATAGGTTGTTGTTAATACATTATATCAATTATCATAATCTTGTCACGTTCAATCGCGCCATAAAAATTTCAGTATTAGTAATACTTCTATGGAAAATTAAATGGTGTTAAAAATTAAATATTATGATATTTAGTTTAACATAATTAAAAATATAGTATTGGACAACATTATTTTATAAAAAGTTTTAATACTTGATTTTAACTTTTGATTGATAGTTATATCAAATCATTAACAACTTTACCTATTTTCTGATGCTTAATAAATGTTTATTAATTAATGTAAAATACGTCATATTTTTTTGATAATTAATCACAAATTATGCGATTTACACTTTATAACGTCTCACTATGTTTCGAAAAATTCTACAACTTTTTATCTATTGAATATTTTGTATTACTTTCTTTTTCAACGACTTATAAGTTAAAAGAGATAATGCTTAAAAGTTAATTGATAATTAATTAATCAAAAAAATATGTACCAAAATATAAATAAAAATTATTTTGTCAATATTTTTATTTTTATTTTTAGTAATTAAGTAGGTTATAATAAACAGATCACTCTATATGGAAATAATGTTTAGAAAAACTTTTTTAAACATTAGAGAAAATTGCATATTTTTAGAGACATTTTTAATAATTAAAAAGTGTTAGACTTATTAATAAATAAATTATTAATTCATTAATAAGTCTACGATTTATATTTACATTAAGCATTTTTAGGGCTTCTTAAACGTTGAGCATTTTTATAGCTTCTATAAAAATTGCAAATTACTATGGCTTCTTGATTTTTGTGCACTTTTATGGCTTCTTCAAAGTTTATGCATTTCTATGGCTTCTTTATAATTTTTGCATTAATATGGCTTCTTAATTATTATGCACTTTTATGGTTTCTTCAAAGTTTATGCATTTCTATGGCTTCTTAATTTTTGAGCATTTTTATGGCTTCTATAAAAATTGCGCATTTCTATGGCTTCTTAATTTTTATGCACTTTTATGGCTTCTTAAATTTTGTGCATTTCTATGGCTTCTTAATTTTTGAACATTTCTATGGCTTCATTATAATTTATGCATTTATATGGCTTCTTAAATTTTGAGCATTTTTATGGCTTCTTAAATGTTTTGGACTTTTATGACTTCTTTAAACAAAACGCATTTTATGGTTTTTATAAACATTTCATATTTTTACGATTTCATAAATTTTCTACATTTTTTTGGCCTCTTTAAAAATTGAACATTGATGACTTCTTAAATTTCCAATTACAATTTAAATTTAATTGATAAATCATAACAATTTATTTGCAAAAGTTCTCCAATAAAATTGAAAACTCTTGTTAGAATCGTTTTTCTTTGAATCAAAATTCAATATTTCTAGAATATACATTGAATGAAATCCTGAATATGAGTTAAAAATATCCTTAATCATATATTACATTGTGAGTACTCTAGTAACGTAACTCAAATATAAAATATTAATACACGGAACAAATTTATCATTTTTTGTTATTGTTATCAATATTATTTAGTAATATGCATTCTATTTTACATATACGGTAGTTCATCGTAAAGAGCTTCATCTTAATCATAATAAAACATATAAATATAACTTGTATAAACAAGTAGCTCAACATTAGTCGATTTTGAATTACTGCATAACATTACTTATAATGCATTATATTATTTCATTAAAAATAAATAAGTGCTGTAGCCCCGTTTTTTTTACATAGTTATAAAAAAAGAAGTAGTTATGAGCCTTGTCTATAATCATTACTTAGTGTGTAACGATTGTGTTACTACTTTCCTTCTTTAAAAAGTATAAACCAGTTTTTGATACCGTAAAAAAAAAATACGAAAAAAATTTAAATTCTTAGAAATATTAAAGATTTAATCACAAAATTAAAAAAATATATTTTTGCACCAAATTATTTCTTATAATCTACATTTAAAATGATATTGCGTATTTTTAAAAATGTCAAGTAGGTTTTTAAAATTGTTTATTTTTTAATGATTTTATTATAATTCAGCGAGTTTTAAAAAAAAAAAATGTAATGAAAAAAATGTAATAGATCAATAGTTATAGCAATAGCCATAACATACTACCATATCCAGTATATAACATTGCTATGATAATTAACAACTTAAATTTAATTGCAAACTCTCTTTAAAATGACACATACATTTTTTTTTTTAATGTACAAATATTTGCATTGTTACTTTTTCGTCGGGATGAAAAAATTTATAATAAACACTATTATGAATTTTCTGTCTATGATAATAATATTATACAAAACTTTACACGACTTTATTTTATTCATACAAACAAAAAAAGTTATTTTTCTTAAGATTGCAATCTTATCAAAAAGGTCTGGATCTGGTTTAGGCAAATGCGTCAATCCAGTGATTAATGGAACTGTCTCGCTATTTACCAAAACATTCAGACAACAGGCGTCTTCTGTTGAATTTCCATAGCTTGCCGGTATGTGTCTCCAGTGCCCTTTGTCTTCCCTTATCGAGTGCTCTTTAAAATCACGCCCATTGTTATCGAACTTTCGCTCTCCGGGGGATATACCACGTCGAACTTTATCAATGGAAAAATTCGATTTTCCTAAGTGGAAAGTTTTATATTATTTTATTGAGTGTATGAATGTATAATTGAAACAATATAACAATTGAACGTAGTAATTTATAGCAGCCAATGTAATTTAATTAAAACATCATTAATATTTTACATCATTAAATAACTCCAGTGAAGATTTTCTTGCCACCCAAGAAATATATTACTATTAGTAATTTGTTAACTAATGTAGAAACCTTAAATAATTTTATTTTCGTTCAAACCCAAAGCCATTAGATGGGCGTCAGGATTGAATTAGCGTCAACAGGAGCTTTGTGGTTGTTGTTTTTGTATTATCTCTTTGATGGATTGAGTTGGTGGACCTGAGGGATCTAAGAGTATAGATAGGGTCCATGATGGTTATTGTTATTTTTATCCAATACCTCAGCAGAAAAAGTTTAATATGACGGATAGCATCGTATACGATGGATGAGAATACGATTAGATTTTTTTTAATATTATACCTATAACATTTTTTTTTTGTATAATAATACAATTTATAATATTATATATAATACTATAGTATAGATTTACTTTGTATGACTAAAATATACTTTTTTCTAAGTAAATTGGAAAATTGTATTGATAGTATGTAACATTTTCTATATGATCTGATCTATTATAAACTATTTATTTATAAAAACATAATTTCAAATTAAATAATTTTCTAAATTAATTATAAATTACTTTTAAAATATTTGTTGATACCTTTTGCTATTAATTAAAGTAGATATTATCAAACATATTGATTTTAAATCAGAAACGAAACAAATTATAAAGCTAAATTATACATATAATGACTACTAATTAGAAATATAACAATATTTATTACAATATATCTGTTTAGATATTCAATGTAACTTTTTATCACTTAGCCGGCGATGAGCATTCTTAACTTAATAACTTAATAACTTGATGCAGTTAATGCATAAATAAATATAAGCATATATAATAAAAAACAAAAACAATTATTGCAAATTAAATACAAATTCTTCTGTTGAATAAAAGAAACATTGATTCAGCCTTATCAAATTCTCCCTATATGTTTTAAAACCTGAAGCTGATACAACTAGTTTGAAAAATGAGTGATAATTAGATCGCATCAATTTTCGAGCTTCCTCATAACTTAACTTATCAACATCAACGAAAGGCATTTCATAATTTAATAATTTATTCATATCAATCATTAAAGATTTAACTATGTCTTGGATTTCTGCTTTAGTCTCTGGGGCAGTTAAGTGAGATTTGCCGATTACTTTTGAATCGTTATAAAACACGAGTAAAAAGTAAAACGAACGGGTTAAATTTTTTGAAACATTCTGTGGTAATCCTATGACAGCCTGAGACATATCTTGATCGTACTTATAAAGAGGTTTCATGTACTGGGCGAAATTTACCAAAAAATCTAATTTGTTGTACTTTGAATCAGGTGTTTCTATTTCGTTGATCATACGCATACCCAATTTCATGTGGGTAATAGTTGACCAATATAGAGACGCATAAAGTATCTCAAATACTGACTTATGATACATACGCATTGCTTGAGGATCAAATTCAAATGTGGCTTCAAATGCATTCAACTTGAGTTTGACCAAAAGTTCATAAGGCAATGCTCGATGTCCAGAAATATTATCTATAAAATCTGTTAACGCCATGAGTCTTGGTTCAATTACTAAATCATCTCTACTATTTTTGACGTCTAGTCCTCTAACAAATTCATCAGCGCGAGCCACATTTGAAAAAATTTTTTGTTGTATAACTTCAAATGTTTGATTTTCATATTTTTCTAGATATTTAGCTTCAGGATCATACCTGTCACACCACACACCCCAAAATGTTTGCAATTCACCTAGTATTTTTGTGTGAATAGTCTTCATGTAAGTTCGAGCATTTTCAAAATCTGTTATGTTATGCACTATTTCTGTGGGTAACTTGTAGAACAGCACAGTACCGTGAGTGTTATTCAAATAAAGATTCAATGACATCAGTTCACCCAGACCGCTAACTTCGCCGTACAGCAATATGGACAACATTTGCAATACGGAACCACCAAATGATCTTATTGGTTCATCGATTGCCGAATAAACCTGTTCCAACTAACAATTTTTATTGTTAATATTGTTTATCATAATAAATCTTTTGTTGACAAACAATATAAACACATATAAATAATAAATACTATAATTTACATATACATACCTGATCGTTAACTGAAAATTTGAGTAAAAGATAATTGGAAAGTATTAAGTGCTTGATTGACATTTCGACGAAAGAACATCTGGCACTCCTAAACATTGCAGCCTTGAGATTTTTTCCGTGTCTACACGATTTAAAACGACCCAAATTAACGTTTGGGCAAAAGTCAACTTCGTTATTTTCTTCGTGTGAACATCCATAAATCGACTGTAATAATAAATATGTACTCAAAAGACATTTATTTGAAAATATTGATACATAACAATAAGAAATAATGATTTATTTTTATCTTACATTGTGTATAATAGCATTTAGTTTAAGTCCTCGGTTCCTTTTTATTAGGTTTCCGTGTTCTGTTACTTCAAACTTATAATGACGAGGAAACAATAATTGCCACGTATCTGACTTGATGTAGTTCCCAATTTCTTTTTTTGATTGCGCTATGCATTGCGCTTCATCTATGGCATTCATAAGCGCCCATGTTGACCATATAAAACTTCCACAAAGTAACAAAACAAATGTTCTTGACATGCCTCTAAAATTAATTCATTAAAGTTTAGCACATTATAATCAAATATTAATGAGTAATAGACAAATACGTCTATGAATTGAAAAAAAAAATTAATTTAATTCAAATTTTAAATTATCTATTGTTTTTTAATAGTACAAAATTTTAAGAATTTAAATATTTTTGATTATGTATCGTCATCTTTATGACAAATCCACGTAACATGAAATTATGAGATTTTTTTCGAGAAATACTTGCAATATTCACATGTGTTTTAAATGTTTTTTGAAAGAATAATCAAATTTTTTTTCTGGAAATAAAACCTATTATTAGAGACCTATTTCCTTTGTTAACTGTATAAAAATAGTATTCTTATTTGTACTTAAATAATTTTAAAAAATGAAGGTATGTGGTTTTGCCGTGAAGGTGACGATATACACTTACTTCAAATTGATTATTTTTTTTTAAAGAAAACAATATTATTTTTGCTTCAAATTTGACTATTGTTAGTAGTAATCTAAAAAGGTAATTATGTATTAATACAAAATTTTTTGAAAAGAATAGCATTAATAGTTTTAATAGTATCAATATTCAAATTTTATTGTCGTCATCATTTTATATGAACATTTACACAGATGTTAGTTCATATGATCAACAAGAAAACTAATTGTATTTTTATATGTAGTAATAACAATATTTATATTAAATATAACTATGACATTTAATATAAATTGATTTCTATAGAAAAGAAGATTAATTTCACATAAATTTAACATTCTTTACAATGATATGAGAAGTTGAAAAAAATTTCAACTGAATAACACTATAACTTAAAGTTTGATCGTGTGACATTTTTTCGACCACTTTTAAATTACTTCATAAATAATAAATTTAATTAAAGCGGGGACTAGGTTAATAATTGATAAGAAAACAATACTGTTAGTGATTAAAATATCATACTTTGATATTTTAAAAAAGATTTTTTCAGATAAATTGAAATTATGTAATTATTTATATGTATTGATTATTATAATCTAATGTGTGTTTAACGTGGAAATATATTTTATGATGTTAAATTATTTTATAAGTCGATAAAAACAGCAAATTATTCATTTTAATGACAAAACGTACTTTTTACTTACAGTAGGAACAGTGTGTATCCAATTTTGAACATTTAATACTACAAAAAAAAAAAAAAAACAGTTAGCACAAGTCAAATTGTAAAATAGTATTACATGTGTAGTTCAACTTAAATGTTGCATACGTACCATGTATAGAACTATACTAATATCTTCTGTATACAATAATCATCACTAAATAACATGCATCACGTTACGACTTTAGTTTTACTGAATTCTGTTGTCGCGCACGTAGTTAAAATTCTATTGTTTCAGTGTTCAACACATTTACACAGATGTTATTGCACCAAAAATATCGATTTTTATTTATTTGAAAAATCGATCTAAATTTTATAAAAGAAAAATAACACGAAGCAATAATTATGTGTTTATATTTGAATTAACATTAAAATTAATTGGATTTTGCATTACATCACTTCCTTGATAATAACTCTTCGACGATATTTGAATATTTATCTGTCTTTTCATTTTACATTCTTATTTAAGAACATTAACCGTGCCATTAACTGACAAAATTTCCTTTTGTATTTTATTGTAATTTTATCTTTATGATTACTATTATTTTACTTTTTTTAATAACCGTTTTTCAGTATCTGTTACTGTTTTTATTTTGTACCGTTGAAACTTTGCTATTAGAATATTATTCAAATTTTTAATTATTTTACACAGAAAAATGTTTTTGTTTTTTTTGTTATTGTATTTAAATGGAAATATTTCGTTAGAAAATGTTTCGTTTAGATTTCAATACTCATGAAAAATATCTTATTTTAGTAAATCCCCATGATATGCATCAAATAAATACACCATCCAATTACAATTGCTTTTTTCGATTCCTTATTTTAGTAACTTATATTTTGCATATTATATTTTTATTAAAATTTTACAAATTTAACTGAGGCTGTTATCCTCACATTTTTATTGGTGTACTACATAACGCAGTTTTATTTATATAAGAAGTTTGTTAAAAAATTGTTTAATACAAGTAAATTATAGAACATTACATAATTGTTTTGTATTTAAACTTTTAATCAACATTTATTATGAATTTCTAATTCATTGCTTACAATAAAAACGTTAATTTTGTTTACCATTGGTGTTCGTATACATTTAAGACACGTAGCACTAAATTTTGACCTAAAGAAATAAAAGATAAATTTCTATGTACTATCCATTAATTCAATTCCAGCTAATTTGTCTTATTTTGAAATAATTTCATCCATTTTACAATTCTCTGAAAGACATTCAGCGTTGTCAAAATAATTTTATTAATCATAACTAACTGACAGTTAGTTTTTCCTAAACATACTAAAATCATATGACAGTTAATTCTTAGTAATAACTGTTTAACCTGTAATTAATGGTGAACAGATTTTGTTTTTTCTTACTTAAGGACTTTGAAAATATATTTTGAAAGTTTTTGCCATTATAGGTTGAATGTTTTTTCATAAAAAATTGACCTTATCTTTTAAAGAACTTAAAAAATCTTCGTAGTAATCTATTAATATGATAAAATATATTAATAATTACATCATTTTAATAAATCGTGTTTTTTATGAATAGTGACATTTTTGATATAAATAATTATTTATAAATTAATAATTTTTAGTAGTAATTTGTGCTTATTTTTAATTTTTATGTTGCAGCTATTTAATAATAATTTTTAATTATGAAAAGACTAATGAATACTATAATATTTAATAAACTTATCCTCCACTCAACAAATTTTTTTCTTATTCGGTGTAACTTAGTTTTTTTTTGAAAAAAAAGAGCATTTACTTTTATAAAAAAAAATTATTTCACATAAATAAAGTATCAAATCATTATATCGAACTAATAATACAGTTAATTTATCAAAACTATTTACCTGTAATTAGGAACGTGTGAATCGGTGTTAATTTTCATAGTAACAGTCATTTGTGTTATACTATCTTATCTTATCTTATCTAAACAATTATTTTAGGTTATCGATCATTCTGTTGTTTTATTATTGTTGTTAAATAGTTAAATTACAGACATATAAGCGCATTAGAAATGAAAAGTACATTCGCGTTGTATTAGCACTTTGCAGATTTCATTAACTGCCTACTCGTCATTATAATTTACTGACTGGGTATTGCAGACATGAGTTTTCCATCTGAACTTTTGAAATCATAATAATTTTTAGTTCCGTTTACAGTTAATACATGTATGTACATCTGATATTAATTTATTGGGTATAATGTTGTTATGAGACACTTGTCGAAGATTTTTTTACCGGTACACTACACCACCGAACCATTTCCTCGGAGGAAATTGGAAATGACATAGCCGGAGCCGGATGCGATTGGAAACCCATCGATTTTCTCCCCAGTCCCTGGTAACGTCACGTACTTTACTTGTACCTAGGCTACAACCTCCTTCGGTTCGTACGCATAGAACTACACGATCGTGCGTGCCTCCCTTATTAACCCTTGGGGTTTCTGCTATCCGCTGTCATATAAATAATATTGTTATCCACAGACGACTGTCAACATTACAATTACTGTTCATTGTACACCAATGCGGTCAGTACACTACCATCTGCAAGGTTTATAATTTAGCAAACAGTAAAATTACTTGTTATTTTTATAATTTTACACCGTAATATCAGAACGTTAAAAAAATGCAAATTTGTTTAATGATGCATTAACGACCGGATTAGCAATTATAAGTACAGAAAAATAATTGATTTGATGAAGCGTTGAATATTTGTCACGTGTTTTGTCTTTATATCGACATGAGAATATTATTATTCTTTTAGCGGCGCTGTCATTTCACGGCACCTTTAACATTTTTAGATAAACGGCGTGGCGTCCGCGTTCATAAGAGAATAGCAATATAGAGTATAGTAGTGGTTTCTTTAGCGATTTATTTTGAAATTTTTGACGTTTTACGAACCAAAAGTAATTTTTTACACACCAAAGTTCAACGTCTTTCCACCTCTGGTCTAGCAGTTGGCTTAATAATATCTCAGATATAGTTTATTTTATTTTTGAAGTGAAAAATTAAGGTTTGATGTATAAAAAACTTGCTACAGTTTTGACAGTCTTTTTAAGCTATCATGTTTAATTTTTTGCATAAAAATGTTATTAACGTTTAACTAACTATAATTCCATTATTTTCACAATGACATCTATCTACTTTGTAACACGATACAAAAGATACTTAATAAATATTGTTTTACATTCACAAGTAGTATCTTACATTGTATTATTATGCACATATCACTTAAACATTAAATTTTTTTACGCTACACACACAGATTATTATAAATAATTGTAGTATTATATTTGTATTAAAAATAAATAAATTAATAAGTATTTATGGCTTTTACACGCGTAAGACTTTGTCGAACTAAACTCATAAATAAATAGCTATACTTGAACAAAAACTCTAAAGTTCGAATTTATAACTGCTGACGTTATATTATGAATTAAAATAATAATTAATTTCTAAAAAATTGAGATTAAAATAATGAGAGAGTTGATGAAATAAAAACTGTCGATTGCGCGTTATATTTTTTACACCTTTCACAATTCTTGATCCCATTAAGTTAAAGTAAATGTCATAAAATACTTTTAAGGGGGAATTTGATGTTTATAAACTGTGAAGTACAAAATAACTTCGTTAATAATTTTCAAGGGCTATTCCTGTATAAGGGTCGACTGTTGACGTCGTTACTGTATTCATCAATTTTCTTGCTGTAATCAAGAGTCTGACTTTCATTACTGTCATCATCTCCGATCAACTTTTATTCGTTATAGCGTTTATAAAAACAATATTTCTACATAAAATAGTCATTAAAATCATATAATTATAAGTAAACTATTTTTTTTCGGTAATAATAATAATAGCAGCATTCTTCTGTTTGCCAATGCAGGACAAAGCAATGATTAAATAATGTAGAAGTATTGTAATGGCTGAAGGAAAGGGAACGGTTAATTAATTTAAAGGGAGTTTTGAAGAAAACGGAACGGCACTTGACTGTTAAATGGTAAGAGATGAAATTTTGACTTCTCTTTCAGATGCTGTCACTTTGCCATTTCCATTCGCCCACTATTATTATTTCGCTAAAATCTTTTTAATTTTGTCAACGGTAATTTCATTAAAACAAAAAATTCCAAATATTTATAGTGGATAATTTTTAAATAATTTATTTCAGAAGAAAACTGAATCGACAAACTTGAAAATTTATAGTTTTTCTCTGATTCACTTTATAATACGAAAAAAGCAAGGATAAAATCAATTGATGATATTTGAAAAATATATATAATTTATTTTATTAATGATAACAAAATGAATCATTTTAAATATCTAATAACTTTTTTTTTTACAGGTAAGTAAAATGTTATAGATTGATGAAGATAACAACTTGTATTTTACATAGAATTTTTATTGTATAGAGAATAAAAAATTATATTTCAAATTAACTGTAAGTATTTTAGTAGTATTCACGCCAAATGAATTAACTTTTTAATCAGTGAGAATTATGTATAGATATTTCTTAGAATGTAGAATAGTGGATTCACCTCTCCACTACTATAATTCTATGTCTATGATTCTCCCTTAAATACATCACTGTTTTAAGCGAACAAATAAAAAAAGTGATCATTCATTGATAAATTTTTAAATAAACGAGGAATTTTTGTTCAATGAGGGCTAAAAATAATTATAAAATTTATTGTCTTTTCCTAAGAAAAAAGAGATCATTAAAAACTTGAATTAAATCACTTTCAATATAATATTATATATATACAATATTGAAAAAATATATATTTTAATAACTTGAGGCAATATAGTTATTGGTTGTTATTATTTCATCATTGTTATTAGCAAACCCTATCTAAATGATAATAAGTTACATTCAACGAATATAAAGGTGTTATTGATCCGGATTTTCTTAATATACAAATGCTTTTTGATTGTTGTAAATAAGATTTTTTAAAACATGAACTGTACCAATACAAAAAAAACAAGTTTTGAGGTGGACTATGAATAATAAATCGGAGATTTATTAATAACCTTCTTGACACAATTGTTGGCATGCATAATTTGATGCACAAATTTATACTGGGTTAGGAAACGCATGGATTATCAAACCGAAAACATGGTAATGTCATCATCGTGTATCTGATGAAGCGCAAATGAAGAAGGGGAAAATCGACTTTGGAAACTGAGCTTATGGGGTGATAACCCTTAAAGTGCAAACTCTACCCTCTTCAACTC